GTGTCATGAGCTCAATGTTGGCGCAACCAAACGAACCCATGGATAGGAAGACTAGTTTACTCTGATTGGACGGACGGACCAATAGTTGTTTCGGTATCTCAAACGTCTCATGAGTGGTGCGAATGAAGTTCTCGACTCGAACCCAATTGTTGTCCATCGGCTCGAGAAACTCGTATTCAAATTCTTTTGGCCACAAATATATGTTGAGATAAGGGCTGAGCGGATGGAGGCGTCGATCGGTCAGTTTGGGCGCTCCTTTCTCTATACAATAATCGTTTACACTTTGTTGTAAAGCCGAGAATAATGCAGTCGATCGCTCCCGAAATTGCTGCCATGCACTGCAATCATTTAATGGCAAACCTATAACCGTTCAACATATTACAACTTTTAACTTACTTAATTTTTAATTACTAATTTTATTTAATAACAGTACTGGCAATTAAAGTACATAAAACTAATTTATAAAATGTTTCAATTATATAATTTAACTTTTGGTTTAACTTGAATCAAATGCATAACAATTTGAATGACATACCAGACCAGGCCGGGGGTATTCTATTATCATCGAGTGCCTGGTGAAGGGCAGCGGAGAACAACCAGACCCAGGGTATGCCTGCGTTTGTTATGGTTGGCATACATATGTAGTTATCGGTGACAATTAAATCAGGTTTAACTTTGTGTATAATGTGTTCGTATTGTTGTTCTCTCTCTTTATTGTCGGCAAACATTTTGGTCAAAGCCGTCACTAAAAACTTCTCCACCATTACTATTGGTTTTTCTTTTAGATAATGACAGTTCTGTTCCATAAATAGTGGCCAGTATTCAGTCACTTCTCCGTCGGTATTCAATCCATGCAAATACTCTTCAAATCCATAAGCAATTAGTTTGCTTTTAAATGCCTTATCGATTGCAAACACTACTCGATGTCCTCTTGATTTTAATTCTTCAGCCAATCCATGACAAGCGTTGATATGTCCCCAACCATCCAATGGTGTGAACAGTATTGTTAACTTCTTTGAACACATTATTCATATAGTATATTAAATTATAAAATATTAAAACATTTATTTAAAATTAATGTGAATACTAAATTAAAACAAAACTTCAACTCCTTTTATATAAAGTACAACATATGATAATAAATGGTTAAAATAAAATGCAGATTATGTCAAATTATATCTATATGACATTTATTGCACTTCAGTTAAGTATTCCAACTAATTATTACTATTTTAATTAATATCTAATAATTTAAGATCTCAACATCTAATGATAAAATTTTATTATACAATCTGCATAGTACATAGTAGACATGCAAACTTTTTCCAATTTTCAATTCCCTGCCCTGCCCTGTTCCCTGTGATTTTTGCTTAGAGGGAATCCCTGCCCTGCCCTGTAGAGGCTAACAGGGAACCCCGGGGATTCCCTGTAATTTCCCTGTAATTTTTTTTAATGAATATATATTATAAAAACTTTTATTTGTTCATGATATTTCATTATTTCAATAAATAGACCTCAAATACATCTATACTATAGTAATATAACTGTATTAAGTCTCTTTATTACACAAAATTCATTCACAACTATTGACACATTTATCATTTACTTTCTGTATTACAGGGAAATTACAGGGAAATTTTGTTACAGGGATTCCCTCTAAGGGTTACAGGGATTCCCTGTCCCTGCCCTGTTCATTGATTCTCATTTCCCTGCCATTTCCCTGTACAGGGAACAGGGCATTTCCGTGAAATCCCTCTAACAGGGAAAATAAGTTGCATATCTAGTACATAGAATTATAATTTTTTGTATTTTTAATTCTAATAAACATAGTGTTTTAATTAATATTTAATTGTTTATCAGATTAACAATTTATAAAAATTATCAATTTTTAGCAATATTAATTTTATTAACTTGGTAAAAAAAATCTTGCGATGGTCGATTAATTTTTATATAAAAATAAATCAATGGAAATTAAGAATACCCGTACACAATGATTAAATTCACGTATTAACGAACCAAAAGTGTACTAAACGTTCTGTATTTGCAATATAATAAATGAATTTTGTTATCGTAAAATAATAGTATGATCTTAAAAAAGTAGACTGATTAGATGTCCAGAAATGGTCTGGATTGTCCCGGAATTAGATGGCCTGTCCAGAATTTTTAAAATCTTTTAAACATTAAGTCTATGGAGGCGTCCAAGATAATATAACTAAAATTAGTAAAGGGATCCAGGATAATAGGGCTGATTTTTACCCAAAATTCAGGAGTCTCATAAACTCATCTGGCCAGTCTAGTCAAAAGTAAAAACATACAAGCCTTATTAGAGTACTTTGTACAAAATACCGAACTACTCGAACTGCATATATCTATATTACGCGCACTGTATCAAGCATTTCATATAAAGCATTTGACATAATATTACAAAGTATTTAGTATTATGGATATTATGCTTTACTAACAGTTAGTGTTAAACATAAAGAGTCATTTCTTTTCACAACGATTGCGACAGCATTTTGATTGCGGAAAGTATTTTATCAAACCTTTTCAAAAAAGTAATTAAGATTTAACTTTCTGTAGACATATTATTAAACTTTTTAAATTCTTATAATATATAATATAATATTATTACATATAATATAAAGAATTATTAAGAATTAATAAGAATAAAGTATACAGTAGTGTTCTTTAGTTTAATAGTTTGTAAAATATGTACTGACGCTCTTAATTATGTTTATAAGTATGCTTTTAATCTTATTTTTATTGAATTACATCATAATAAAATATTTTTGTACTACATTATAAAACCAATTAGTATAATGATAAATGTTAAGATAATAAATGTTAGATCAATCAAAATGCTAGATAAGTTCAATTTAAATCTAGTGTTGCCACTAACTTCGGTAATTTAAATTATAATTTCTTAACAAAGATGTAAAAAATATATTTAAAAATTAATTTATTGGAACATTTTGTCGATATAATCGGAAACAACTTGTTTATCATTGCTATTACGAATACGTTCACCAATTGATGCCATTCTGGTCTTTAGCTCTAAATCCGAAACCAAAGTGTCGACTGCGTTAAGCAATTCATTATCCGTACATTTAAATGGATTGAGTCTTAAACCCAACCCCGTTTCAGCCACTCTCTGCGCGTTATCGTATTGATCGCCAAATAATGGCAACACTAACATAGGTTTACCGAAATAGAAATTTTCGGCCACAGTATTGTTGCCGCCGTGCGTTATTACCAAATCCACAACTTGTAGGACAGCTGTTTGAGGTAAGAATTTTTGGCCCCACATATTAGCCGGCAATTTATAGCTCTCAAATAGTGGTCCTTTTGAAACAATGAAAGAGTGTTGAGATTTAGCCAATACTGTGGTTAATCTGATCATTAACTCGAGATTAGCGCAACCAAACGAACCCATCGATAGGAATATAAGTTTGTTGTCGTCGGACCGGTTGGACAACGTGTTCGGCATCTCAAATGTCTCATCTGTTGTGCGAATAAAATTCTCCACTCGTTTCCATTTGTTATTCATTGGTTGCAACTCTTCGTAATCCAATTCCTTTGGATATAAGTATAGATTGAGATACGGACTGATGGGATGNCGGCATCTCAAATGTCTCATCTGTTGTGCGAATAAAATTCTCCACTCGTTTCCATTTGTTATTCATTGGTTGCAACTCTTCGTAATCCAATTCCTTTGGATATAAGTATAGATTGAGATACGGACTGATGGGATGCAAACGCATGTTCATCAGTGGTGGCGCCCCTTCAGACACACAGTAATCGCTAACTTCGGATTGAAAACCACTGAATATTTCAACCCAACGCTCCTTATATTTACGCCAATCCTTTTGGTTGCCATTCAATGGAAAGCCTATTAATAGCGATATAAACTACACATTAATGTATTCGAGATGTCATTTTGCAAAATACATGTTTGAAGCGATTATTTGGTTATTGGCAAAGCATTGATTCTTAGGTGCTAAAAATCGCCTTTTAGGTACCTAAAAAGTTACTTAAAAATGACTGAAAAGTTGCTAAAAAGGTGATAAAAAGTTATGAAAAAGTTATTTATTTTACATGCAAATTATAAAAATAGTTAATTATTATGTATGATTCTTATGTAAAATTTAACGTTGAGTTTGAATATGAAGCTTACAACCAAACCGTTAGAACCATTAACAGCCAAAAGCAGGCTTTGTCTATATACACCCATAGACTTTACATTAGTTTTAATGCATTAGTGCTATCTGACTCGTGAGTGCTATCTGTGGCTGTACCTGCTTAGAACACTGCATCTAATAGTTATAATATTATAATAACTTTGAAGTTATTCGGCTTCGAGCTGTTGATTGATAATTTTAGTTACGTAATTTCTTGAAAAGTTATATTAATTCAATGTAAAGTTTAGCTTTGGGAACATACAAGAAATTTTAAATTTTTAAATAATTGTTCAACCCTTCTATTGTTTATATAATTGTAATTTTCATTTACTCATGTATATTCATCAACTATTTTGTAAAATATCCATTGTTCTACAAACATATATTATACATGTAAAGTTATGTACTGTAATCTAATTTATGCTATCAATATAACACGTACTGTACACGATAAGTATTATGTATATAATAATACATAATACTTATCTTATTTTAAAAGATTGTTATAATATTTGATTAATTGTTAAGTGATTTATTGCAAATAATACACACATACCAGACCAGGCCGGGGGTATTCTGTCGTCGTTTAGGGCCAAATGAGGTGCTGCCGAGAATAGCCATACCCAGGGTATGTTAGCATTGGTTATCGTAGGCATACATATGTAGTTATCGGTAATAATGAGGTCGGGTTTCACTCTCGCAATAATTTGTTTGTATTGAAAATCTCTCTCTTTATTGTCGGCAAACATTTTTTTGGTGGCGTTTAAGAAAAAGACTTCTGCGATAACTAACGGTTCCTCTCGTAAACAGTGACAGTATTTCTCCATAAACAAAGGCCAGTACTCTTTCGCCTCGCCCTCAGACGCCAAGCCATGTATTTCCTCTTCAAAGCCATACGGAAGTAGTTTGCCTTCAAATGCCTTATCGATGGCAAACACAATGCGATGACCCCTTTCTTTGAGCTCTTCGGCCAATCCATGGCAGCAATTAATGTGTCCCCAACCGTCCAATGGAGTGAACAGCACTGTTAACCTTTTCGATGCCATTACTAAACATTTACAGTATTTATTATAATATAAACAAGCATTTCAAGAATTCCGTAAATTGCACATCAAAAAGTTATATTCAGTTATAAGTACAGTATATTATAACTACTGTATAACGTTTGCAGTGAATTTTTATACATTGTAGTTCAATTTTGTGAATTTTAATTTTATCGTAATTATCTGTTAGATCACATCAAATGCGTTCATTTGATATGCTATATGACCTATAGTTGGCCTACAGTTGACCGACAGTAGTAGGCCTTAGCATTCGGTCACAAATCTGCAATATTCGGTAAAATGCTGTTAACTTAAAATGGCCGCCGCGGGAGTGCTGTCAACCTTATGGGCATATAATATACTTTATGTCTTCGGAACCCTCTTATAGAGGACTATCATTATTTGGATATAACCTTTTAATCCATCAAGCTCATTTTGCTATCTTTTATATTAAGTTTAATTATTAAAGAAAAATATGTTTATACTGTAGTAATTAATTAACTTCATTAGTAATAAACACTGATACAATGTATAGTGATATTAAATCGTTTAATATAAAAATATGTAATCTAAAAATGTAAAATGTTAAAATACCTTTGTAGATAAAGTAAAAGCCAAAATCCAAATATAAATTACTTATAAAATATGGTTTTATTAAATATAATTTCTGTAAAGTGAGAGACTATTGAATTAATATACAGTAGACAGTAGTTTATATCATAAACAAATAAAATATGTTAATAATTATCAATAATTTATAGTAGACTTTGAGTTAAACTAGTTAAAAGATAAGAAAATGGTGTAAATCATA